ATATTATTAAACTTTAATATTAATCAATTCACTGTATTCTTATTCATTCATGCCATTTAATATTATTGTTTCCCAAATTGAGTTTGTGAAAAGAAACCATATTACAATATAATTATAATTCGACACTGTTGTGTTTTCTTGGTTTTTGAAATAAAATTTTATTGTATAATAACATAGTTGTATAGAAATTAGTTTATATATAGACATAAAATTATTTGGCGCTATATATAATTATAATAACATAGTTCATTCCATACCATATAATTATTTGGCGCTATATATAATATATATATATATATATAGACATAGTTGTATAGAGATTAGTTTATTGTATTAATTATTTTATTAATATTGTTAAATATAGTAAATTTATATTATTAAATGTGTTGAAAATGTTATTTTTCTAGGATTAATATCCTTGCACCTGTGGCCTTAAATTTTATTCATAGGTTAGTTTATTTAATTTTTATAATTTGCTTTTAATTTATTTATATTGTTTTATATGTAATACCGTAAAGATTTATTATTATTGTATTAAAGTTGTTAAATATGCTATATATTATTATATAACAACACTTGTGTAACACAGGTTCATGGAGCGTGAGGTGATTAATCCGGGTCCCGAAGAATATAGTGTGTTGAGGTTGGATGTACAAGAAACGCACGTGTCTCAGGCTGTATGGAGCTCGGGTTTGAAGAGGGTTCTCAAAGTTCGTAGAGCAACGCAAGGGATGGAAGCAGATCCGCATAATCCAGATAACATTCCGGAGCCAGTGGCAGAGCATCTTAGGCGTGCAGGATTTTATCATGTTGCACGCATGGCACATTTGTCGGTTAGTGCTTTTAATGGTGATATCAATTACTTGCAATTGATTTATTGGGCAATGACTATTTTTATGTGTATAAAATGTATTGCAGATCGATCATGCACTCATTAGTGCTTTAGTGGAGCGTTGGCGTCCTGAAACACACACGTTTCACATGCCACAGGGAGAGGTGACAATAACTCTTCAAGATGTTGCTGCTATTCTTGGTTTGTCATCAGATGGAGAACCACTTATCGGTCCAACTTCCGGTAATTGGAGTAATGTCGTAGATCAAATGCTGGGATACCGTCCTGATCCGCATGAGATAGAGGGAAGCTATTTGCGAATGTCTTATATAGATCGACACTACGGACATTGGGTGCAGCACCAAGGCAATCCTGATAATGAACTCTTCTACACACGTTGCAAATATTTTTAATTTTTTAATTTAAATCACTTGTCAACTAACCTTCAACGACATTTTCATACCCAACAATACTCGATGTGGTTTCATTGACGTTGTTGTGGCATCCCATCGGCACATCGTCGTCATCTTCACTATTCGACTCATCGTCATTATTTTCAGCTGCCAGGCACGCATCCTCGTCTTCTTCTTCTTCTGGTTCATCATCGTTCTGATCATATGTTGGAATGTCTTCATCATCAAGTATAGCAGCGTTGGGCACTACTAGAAGCACAGATGATGATGCATTCCTGTTCAACATATCAATGTGTGGTGCTGTATTCACATCAACTGACTGAATCGGCAATGACAAATCATCGGTATTTTGAATATCTACGTATATCTCCACAAACTTTCTAGCATGGGTTTGATCAGTACTCGTTTCAGCTTGTTCCACAAAAATATCTAATATAATATCAACATCATCATCATCTGTAATTGATATTGCTGTGTATTCAGAACTGCCAGCAAGAGCTCTTACAGTGATTTCAGAAATATGTTGATTCCCTAGTAACCCCAATTTATGGTGAATGTTTGCTTTCAAGCCCTCAAAAGTAGTACCCCGTGTAATACGCATCGGTCTCTTTTCACCTTCAAATGTTACACCACGACGACCCATCACCTTCCTACCATTATAGTATATAAGTGCACGAATTGTTTGTAAATTTGAACTCATTTTTCCTGTAAATAGTTAAACAAAATATAAATGCAATAAAATTAGTAATGTCATAATAAAATAATAATTAAACGAACAAATATAACATTGTACAAACCTTCACTGAACAATGAAAATATGTAATAGATCAACAACACAGCTTTCTGTTAACAAAGCGGGGAAACATAAGTAAAATGCAGAAAGAAGGAAACATTTAGACAACTTCGGAGAGTGAAAATGAAAATGCAGTTTTGGGAAGGTGTATATGTAGGTTTTGGTCGCGGTGTGCTAGAGAACATGTTATACCGGTGGCTGCATCAGAAAATTGGCTTTCTACACCGAGAAGCGTCTGCGTGACTATCGTTTCTAGACACGACTGGACAGGTTACATGTTCCTTCTGCAATATTCCCATCAATCTCCGTGTTTAGTCGTGAAATGTGTAAAGGACGCGGTTTGTCATCTATCACCAACAAACATGATCCTGTACGTGCCGCGTTCCAGTCCATCAATCAGAAAACATGACCCTGCACGTGCCGCGTTCCATGCATCAATCAAGTCGTGAAATGTGTAAAGGACGCGGTTGGTTTTTCATCACCAACAGACATGATCCTGTACATGCCGCGTTCCAGTCCATCAATCAACAAACATGTTCCTGTCCATACCGTGTTCCATACATCAATCACCCGGTTTGGCATAAAACTTGCAAAGGACGCGGTTTATTCACAATCACTTCTCAACGTGATACTCTATATAACGCGTTGTTCTGCATTACATAGGTAATTCATTTCACCGTGAAACTATTCCGGTGAAAGGTTATTAAAATTGCCCTACTAGGGTCAAATGGCCGATAAAATTTGATTGATTTTAGTGTACCGATGTAAGAATATTAATTAGGAAAAATAATTTCTTATATTACAGGAAAGTTGTTTTCTTCTATTTTAGTGATTTTTTAATTTTTGCGCAATATTTTTTTTTTGTTTCTTTAATAGATTTGAGTTCCCTACAAAATAAGTCTATAGCATTAGAAAATTGAAATCCTATGAACTATTAAATATATTTATTGTTCGATATTATAAAAGTTTATTATAAATGAATGGAATTTCTATGATTCATGTTAGGTACCGAGTTAATGAAAAGTCCAATTAAGGGTCATTTAGCATTTTGGAAAGTAAAAATGAACTATGAACTGGACTTACTATATCTTTGGTTATTTAATGGAGCATTTTCCACTCCAGTCCAATCTATGCAACATGCTCATTTATGTATCCTGTATATTTAATTTTACCCTCTGAAGTGGCCACAAGCGACCAACATCCTCGGACGTGTCTTAGTTCTCCTCTCTCTCTCCCTATATATGTAGATATATATAGTTTAACATGTGCTATTTTAAAGGAGTCAAGTTTTATCTTTTTAATTTTTTACTCTATGTATTCTCTATAGTATATAGTTATAATATAAAAATTTAGTTTTTTTTTTTCACTTTTCATGTCAGCTGATGTGATTGAGGAGAGAAAAAAATAATTTTTCATATTATAACTATGTATTATCTGAAATACATAGAGTAAAAAAATTAAAAGGACACAACTTACATCCTTTTAAAGCATAAATTTTTTTCCCATATATATATATATATAATATTTCTCATGTTATAAGAGATAAAATTATCTCCTACACACATAAAAATATATACGATCTATGTGATAGAAAGAGACAAAAAAAATTCCACATATTTTTATGTATTATAAAAAGGGAAAAATGTGTGTCATTTAAATGATGTAAAATTTTGTCATTTTAAGAGAGAGAAAGAGATAGATAAAAGAGGAGAGACAGTTGACAAAAAAAATAAAGGTGTGGGTCTCACTTCTTTGTAAGAGTAAAATGATATAAGTTGTGTCATTTAAAACGATAAACACTTTTCCCTTCTAAAAAATAAAATTATCTCTTTCAAACTAAAAAAACGCTTATATATATGGAAATGGTCTCATTAAACGTGACTAGGTCACGTGAGACTGTCCTAACGCTTTGTCTTCGTCCTAACAGACATTTTGGTTTTCCATAGTGCAATGCTGGTGGTGCTTACACCTTGAGGAAGGAAGACACAACCACGGTCAAACCTAGTGACGCTTGAGGTTAGTCCTAACTCACCGTTACGTGTGCGTGAACTTTCGAATGCACACGCGCCACTTGTTCATTCATTTCAAGGTTTAATGGTACATTTTTTGATTTTTGAAATATTTGGTACGAGTGGTTGTACAAACACTGTCTTTATTATGAATGCTAGTTGTAGTGGTAGTTGAAGCTGGTGAATGACCATGTGTTTGTTTGGATTTTCTTTACTTGTAGTTTTGTACCTGGTATTTACTTTTCTTCTTGTTTGTTTTTTGTTTTCATCACATTCTCTTGATCTCCTTTTTTTTTTTTATGCGTTAGATCTCAATCTGTAATCGTTCAATGCAAGCTTAAGTGTCTTGCCTAAAACTTAAATTAGTCACCACCAATTGCATTTTTGTATTTATTCTTCCTTTTTCTTGTTACCTGTTTGGTTGACCATAAAATGGGACCACTTACAAGTAACATTGATGATGCACAAAGCCTGATCCATGTAAAAATGTTGACAACAAAGATCGCAGAACATTGAACTTTTGCTTTTTCTTTCTGCCATTTATGTGTGTATTTGGATGAAATGTTTTTCTTTGAGCAACTGAGAATCTATATACAATAGTAACTTAAGGGTTTTGAGTTGTGTGGTTCTTCAACGCAGAAAGTTGTCGTGCATTTCCACAGTTCCACTTGCAAGTACTCATTTCTGGCCTAGTTTCACTTCACGGTGAGGCCAGTTCATCTTTTTTTTCCTTTCTTTCTTTCTCTTTTGATGCTTCTTCCATTGTTCCATCTAGTAATATTTACCTTAAGATTTTGCTTATTCACCTTAAGAAAGATATGATCATAGAAAAAAAGAATGATTTGTTCATAATTTCCTTGTTTCCTTGATTTACTATGATTTACTATTTTTTTTTTTTCTTTCTGAAATTCCAAATTGGTGCAGGTTAATTGTTGACACTACAAGAGAAGAAAATGCAGAAGCCACCACAAGTCCATGAATTTGCCTTGAAGGAGACTTCGCCCAACATTGGGGCAGGGACATTCACAGGGGACAAGCTATCCTGCACCTATGATCTGGTTGAACAGATGCAGTACCTCTATGTTCGTGTGGTCAAAGCCAAGGATTTGCCTGCAAAAGATATCACTGGTAGTCTTGATCCCTACGTTGAAGTGAAGCTTGGAAACTACAAGGGACTTACCAAGCATTTTGAGAAGAAGTCCAATCCTGAGTGGAATCAGGTCTATGCCTTCTCGAAAGATCGGATTCAAGCTTCAGTTTTGGAGGTGATTGTCAAAGATAAGGATGTTGTTTCAGATGACTTCGTAGGGAGGGTGTGGTTTGATCTGAATGAGATCCCAAAACGTGTTCCCCCAGATAGTCCATTGGCTCCACAGTGGTATAGGCTGGAAGATCGCAAAGGTGACAAAGCCAAGGGAGAGCTAATGCTGGCAGTTTGGAAAGGAACCCAAGCAGATGAGGCATTTCCTGATTCATGGCATTCTGATGCAGCAATGGTTTCCTCTGACGGGGTTGCAAACATAAGATCAAAAGTTTACCTCTCTCCCAAGCTTTGGTATGTAAGGGTTAATGTAATTGAAGCTCAGGACTTGGTACCAACCGACAAAAGCCGGTATCCTGAAGTTTCTGTGAAGGTTAATCTGGGGAATCAGATTTTAAGAACTAGAGTATCTCACATTAAGACCATAAATCCTATGTGGAATGAGGACTTGATGTTTGTTGCTGCAGAGCCATTTGAGGAACCCTTAATTCTGACTGTGGAAGACAGGGTTGGACCGAACAAAGATGAAGTCTTGGGAAGGTGTATGATTCCTTTACACGTTGTGCAAAGGAGGTTGGACCATAAGCCTGTGAACACTAGGTGGCATAATCTTGAGAAGCATGTGATAGTTGAAGGGGAAAAGAAAGAGATCAAATTTGCAAGCAGGATACATTTGAGGGTGTGTTTGGATGGCGGATATCATGTGTTGGATGAGTCAACTCATTACAGTAGCGATCTTAGGCCAACTGCCAAGCAGCTATGGAAGCCCAGCATTGGAGTTCTAGAGGTGGGGATCATAAATGCACAAGGGCTGATGCCAATGAAGACAAGAGATGGTCGAGGAACCACAGATGCTTATTGTGTAGCTAAATATGGACAGAAGTGGATCCGTACCAGGACAATTGTAGATAGCTTTGTTCCAAAGTGGAATGAGCAGTACACTTGGGAAGTTTTTGATCCATCTACTGTTATTACAGTAGGGGTCTTTGATAATGGTCATATACATGGAGGAGACAAATCCGGTGGATCAAAGGATTCTAGGATAGGGAAGGTGAGAATCAGGCTATCCACTCTTGAAGCTGATAGGGTTTACACACACTCGTATCCTCTTTTAGTACTGCATAATTCAGGTGTGAAGAAAACAGGAGAACTGCATTTGGCTGTCAGGTTCACAAGCTCATCTTTCATCAATATGTTGTTTAGGTATTCCATGCCACTGTTGCCAAAGATGCACTACATCCATCCTCTATCTGTGATTCAGCTAGACAGTTTGAGACATCAGGCCATGCAGATTGTAGCAATGAGGTTGAACCGGGCTGAGCCACCGCTAAGGAAAGAGGTTATAGAATACATGCTTGATGTGGATTCACATATGTGGAGCATGAGAAGGAGCAAAGCTAATTTCTTCAGAATAATGAAAGTTCTAGGCGGTTTAATAGCCTTTGGGAGGTGGTTTGATCAGATATGCAATTGGAAAAACCCAATCACTTCCATACTAATTCATGTCCTTTTCATAATATTGGTTCTTTACCCTGAGCTAATACTCCCCACAATTTTCTTGTACCTGTTTTTGATTGGAATTTGGAACTTCAGATGGAGGCCAAGACACCCTCCACATATGGACACTCGACTGTCTCATGCTGATGCTGCTCATCCTGATGAATTAGATGAAGAGTTTGATTCATTCCCAACTTCCCGGTCATCGGATATGGTTAGGATGAGATATGATCGTTTAAGAAGCATTGCAGGGAGAGTCCAAACTGTTATAGGTGACATGGCGACTCAAGGAGAAAGGTTCCAAAGTCTGTTAAGCTGGAGAGATCCAAGGGCTACCACTCTTTTTATAACATTCTGTTTGATTGCTGCTTTAGTTTTCTATGTTACTCCCTTTCAGGTTGTGTGCCTCCTCCTTGGCTTCTATGTGCTAAGGCATCCCAGATTCCGCCAGAAATTTCCATCATTCCCACTCAACTTCTTTAGGAGGTTGCCTGCTAGATCAGACAGCATGTTGTAAGCATGAATCACCACTGGCTTCCACTCAACTTGCTCCTCTTTATCATCATACACATGGTTCAGAGTTCAGACAGTATATAAATTTTGTCCACATAAAGTGGGAATATTCATGTTGTTGTATTCGTGTTCATTTACATTCAGTCATTAACGAATCTTGTTTAGTGTCAAGTTTTATATTTTGTTCATGCATATCTGTCACCTTGTGTACGATAACGCTGGTAGCCAGATTTACCTTTGCAAATTAAGCCAGTTTTTCAGGATTAGCCTTTTCTTTTCTTTTTTATTGATTTCTAGTAGCAGTTAATGTTACTATTGATTCTATTGGGGTCGCTGTAGATTTATTTCAAACACTGTTTCAAATGTGGTAAACTGTTTCTTGAAATTCACAGTTAATTTGAACTTGTGATTACTCTTTTCCCATCCCAATCCTGGCAAATATAACACTACAAGCCTTTTATTTTTCCCTCACCTTTTCTTATTATTTTTCTTTCCTCTTTGAATCTATAAATCCAATACTTTAATGTGGGTTGTTTAATGACAATTGACAAACATATCTCGTAATCAAAATCCTAGACTCAGCCATATGCATCCTCCTTTTGCTTCAAGAAACGATAAAGCACGAGAACCATGGCATGGGATGCAATGCATATCGCAGGTCTTACCCAGTTACCAACACTGAATCGCTGTGAATAATGCCATTATTTTTTTAGGAAATATTTGAATAAGTTCATTGTTTCGCAACTAATCCGATTTGGAGCGGGTCCAGGATTAAGGCTTTAAACTCCTCCCAAAGGTGGTACTAAGGAGATTAGAAGAGATGCTCTCACCCTCACATGTTTAGCTCTCATTGCGCCAACTGAGTTACCACAGTGTGGAGAAATGTCATTTTCGTCAAAAAGGTAATCATAATCAATGAGCATCTAATTCATTATAAATATACACACGATTTTTGAGTCACGTCGAAAACGAAAGCACAAGTTTATAACCACCTCGTCAAATTTTTTGGGACAGTACCACACGAATCATCATATATTTGACTTGCTAACAAACTTTCGTCGGTGTTTGGCGTTTGCGTATTGTGTAAGTCATGATGAACATCAATTGTGGGAAAAAAAAAAAAATCCCTCAAATTCTTGCAGTATCATAGGCATCTAGTTAAAATCTTAATTGATCATTAAATTTTACGTTTTTATGATTTTTTTCCATCAGAACGATTTTACCAATATTCTATTTTTTTTTTTTTACATTTTTATTATATTTTATAATTTTTTATTTTACGATTTTTTATCTTTTTTTTTATTTTAAGTAAAATCTCTAGCAACCATCCATCACAATTTTGAATTTTACGATAATTGTATGTGTGTGAACCCATCACAATTTTGAATTAGAAACGTTATTACATGGATGAGTAAGCTCCAATTGTCATGCTAGACAGACGGTGATGATATTCTCGGAGTCATCGAAACCTGGTGAACAATATCATCAATTTGTCTCTATCATTTGGAATTTGAAGGCTTGGACCCTTTCTTTGTATATTAACACTTAACAGCAATGAGCTCAGCAGCTTCCAATTCAGTGTGTAGAACTTGTGCCACGTTCTATTCTTTCTCTCTCACACTTGTACACTTTTCTCACTCGCCATTTAGCATCCACTTGGAACAACCAAACGTGTTGTATGGTCAATCAGGTAACTTGACTAGTTTTTTATTACGAATAAATCTTTGGTGCTGCTGTTGCACTTAGATTCAGTACATCCCATTAATAGGAGCATTACATGTCAGTCAAAATTCTCTTTTCTCTGGCAAATTTTTTTTCTCTCCTCTGATATGTAATACTCATTGGTGGGATGCACTGAATTTCCATTCCAGATGGTTCTGATCAGGTTTGTTTTTTTGCAATTCCAGAAGCTAGGGATGGTAAAAACAGTTAACAAAGATGTGATTGAGAAAATTAAGACTAGTGCGGCAGAAGAATATGTAGTTAGTGTTCCTTCTGTCAAGTTGGTCAACCATAGAACCATCAGCAAAACAACATGTTGAGATATATAGTCCCACATTGATTGGATGGGCAACAAATATGGCCTTTATAAGGCCTTGGGCACTCTCACCCCTTGAGCTAGCTTTTAGGGTGGTGTATCCCAAGGTTCTTAACATGGTATCAGAGCCTCACTGTCCTCCGCTTTAAAAAGTGGAATTAAAATAAAAAAAAGCACAAAAAGGTAAAACCAAAAATGGGCCTGTGCAATTTCCACGCTTCTAGCCTAAAGAGCTCTTGCGTGATGGGGCGTGTTGAGATATATAGTCCCACATTGATTGGATGGGCAACTAATATGGCCTTTATAAGGCCTTGGGCACACTCTCACCCATTGAGCTAGCTTTTAGGGTGGTGTATCTCAAGGTTCTTAATACAACGTGAGGAAAATCAAGAGATTTGAGTGTATTAAACAGTTCATAGATGAGACACTGAACATGGTAGAAATCAGTAGATGGAGTTCACTGGTTAAATTATTTAATTTCCCTGCCTTTTACATCTCTTGCTTGAATTCTTTGCATTTGCATTTCATTATTTCTAAGTTCTTTCTTGGGGCTAAACTATGCCCTTACCTCCGAAATCTCCATCTATTCAATGGAATTTGTCAAGTGGTGGGCAATGTATAAGACCTAAGAAATTTCTTCAAAAATTCTGCAAATACACATCAGAGGAACAGTGTTTCTGAAATACTGGTTTGACATGCAAGAATTGGATCTTCAATTTTTTCTTGATACAGTTGACATCACTGAAAGCCATGAGGGCAATGTTAGTGCTCAGTCACTCTCCATGGAAGAACAATCATTGATTGGGTCAAGATAAAAATATTGATACTGATATGCTAGTGCTAGTGCTAATGCACTATCTTTTTATTTTGTGGATGTTAGTGCGCATTATCAAAGTCTTGCAATAAACAACTAAGAATTCATGGATAGTTGACTAGTAATTGAACCATCACAACTGTGGTTCAGGATCTTGCATAATGAAATAATATGCATCATACAGTGAATTCCACCACACTAAGAATCTGACTGTGATAATGCATCATCGTTTACTCCTTTGAATGGAATCTCTTAGTGGCTACTCTTGTTTTTCCAAAATACGTAACAATTCTTCTAGTGGCTTTTAAATTCCATACATTGAACCAGCAATAAATATCAATAATGCTACTGGAACAAAATGATGAAACTGATTCGATGAATGGAAGCTCTCCAATTTGTTAAGTAAGATGTTGACACCAAAATGCAAAAATGGATTACTTCAATTATGTTGGCTGACACAACTTGACAACAACAAAAAAATATAAAAAACCCTCCAGCATAGTTATAGTCACTCAAATAAGGGATTAATACACTCGTTGTAAATAATTTTATTTTTTACACGTACAAAAATATGTGAAATTCATATGAAACTATATGAATAGATGAAAAAATAAATAAATAAATAAACTCTGCACAATTTTATTTTATGTGTATGCTATAACATGAAAACCACTAATCCTCTCAAATAATTGGAAAAGAAAAACAGAAAGACAGATTCCATTTTCTCCCGAATTCGTTAAACAATTTTACATTAATAAAAAGAGAGAGGAAAATAGAACATATAGAGGACGTTTGTTCGCAGATGGCACAGTCCGAGGTAACTGTTGTCGTTGCTTTATCTGTCTACAAATTTTCTCTCTCCTCACTCACACAACACAACATTGTATTTGTAGCCATTTTCGCTCGCAAAAAGGAAAAGCCTTTTTGGGTTCTTCTAATTTTTGGTGGATTCGCTTCTCTACAGAATAAATTAAAAAAAAAAGGGATAAACGACAACGAATCGTAAAGCTCAATTTTTTGTGCTTCGTATGTTTCTTCCATCCTTAATAGTAGATGAGTGAAATCGAAGAAATTGGCGTTGACGTTTGGTATGTCCTCAAGTTTTTCTTATGTCCATAACTTCAATCACGTTATGTTCTTTTTATTGGTTTCTTTAAGAATCTTTTTATTTTAAAAAAAATAAAAATGATGGTAATGGTATTTTGTGGTGTTTCTTCTGTGTCTAGTTATAGCTTTGCTCTTCACAAATTCAATTGGATTTTATCAATCGAGAGTTAGTTGGATAACGTTTCTGCTTTTGTTAAAATTCGTTCTGTAGAAATTTGGAACAGTTTGTAAGTTTTTTTAAAAAAATTTAAACAACTGTACAGCAATCTCACTAGAAGGAGTTTTGGGAAGTGTTGGTTGAGATGTTTGGGGACTTTGAATGTTGTTAAACTGGAAACAGTGTCTGTTAGGAATTTTTGGGAAAAGTAGATGGGATGATATTTGGAGTGTTGGTTAATTTGTTTTTCTGGGTATGAAATTACAAATACTAGAAAAGTTTGCATGTTACTTTACTTTGTTCTAATGATCATTTGGCATATATATGCAAGGTCAGTTCTATACTATTTGGGGAGGGACCAAATCAACTTAACCTTTTAGGTTCAAAATATGTGTCATTTTTGTTTCAATAAATTGTGTGAGCAACTAAACTAAGAGTGCTTGTTATTTAATTGAATGGAGCATCTTCTGATAAATGGCAATGCAATGAACTACAGTTCAGATATAGAAGTTGATTATATCAGATGTCAAAATATAGCAGATAAAGATGTCAGTGATGAAGAGATTGAAGCAGAAGAATTGGAGAAGCGGATGTGGAAGGATAATATCAAACTCAAAAGGATTAAGGAAAGGCAGAAGCATGCAGCACAGCAAGCCTCAGAGAAGCAAAAGACCAGGAAGAATACTGATCAAGCTGTTAGGAAGAAAATGTCCAGAGCACAAGATGGGATTCTTAAATATATGCTGAAGCTTATGGAAGTCTGCAAAGTTAGAGGATTTGTGTATGGAATCATTCCTGAGAAAGGCAAGCCGGTTAGTGGTTCTTCTGATAACCTTAGAGCTTGGTGGAAAGAGAAGGTAAAGTTAGATAAGAATGGACCTGCAGCCATAGCCAAGTATGAAGCAGACTGTCTTGCTATTAGTGAGGTTGATAATAAGCAAAAGGGGAATTCTCATAGCATTCTCCAAGACCTACAAGATGCAACACTTGGGTCACTCTTATCTGCTTTGATGCAACATTGTGATCCTCCTCAGAGGAAGTATCCATTGGAAAAGGGTAATCCTCCACCTTGGTGGCCAACTGGGACTGAAGATTGGTGGCTACAATTGAAATTACCTTATGGTCAGAGTCCTCCTTATAAGAAGCCACATGATTTGAAGAAGATGTGGAAAGTGGGAGTGCTAACTGCTGTAATAAAGCACATGTCACCTGATATTGCAAAAATAAGGAGGCATGTACGTCAGTCAAAGTGCTTGCAGGACAAGATGACGGCAAAGGAGAGTGTTGTTTGGTTGGGGGTATTAAATAGAGAAGAATCTCTCATTAGGCAGCCTAGTATTGATAATGGTACCTCTGGAATAACTGAAATGTTGCATGGTGTTACAGTTGAAAAGCAAGCTGGCTCTAGTAGAGATAGCAATTATGATGTTGATGGCGCTGATGACGGTGTTGGTTCTGTTTCTTCTGAAGAAGATAGGAGAAATCAGTTGATGGATACTGAACCATCAGATAATTTGCACAATAAGGTTGTCCAAGATAAAGATCAAGCTGAGAAGCATTGCAGGAAAAAACCACATTTGGGGTCAAGCGCCACTGACAATCTACCTGCTTCATCTCTCAATAAAACTTTACATGTTGGGACAGGTTCTAATTTGAGACCGGTAGAAAAAGGACTTGAGGTGCCAGCTCAATTGCCAGTATCTGAATTTGACCATTACTCTTCTTTGCATTCAAACAATTTAATTCCCTCAGAAGGCATGTATATGAGTGGAAGGCCATTGCACAGTCCTGAGGTGGAAAACCCTGATATGCATCAAGAAACTTCTTATAATATTTACAATTCAGTGGCAGGATATGTGCCTAGTCATGATGGACAGCAGCTGCAGTCTGGAAATAGTGAACCAATTAGGCCAGAGAATGATGCAGTACATATAAAAGTGGGTGAAGTTCCTGAAGGAGACCTGCAATATTACGGACAAGACACATTTCAAAATGAGCTAGATAGACCTATGGATCACACTTTCTCTGGATCACCAATGAGTGGCATGTCATTAGGTTTTGGGAGACTCAGCAGTCCACCATTCCATTTAGATGATTTCTTATGTGATGATGAAATTATCCAGTACTTTGGGGCATAGTTTATTGGAACTGGCAACTCAGAGCTGAGATGGTAAGTGTTATTCTTACTCTTGAATTTTGCTTGGATTTACCTACCTTTCATGACTTAATGTTTTGCATTTGTTTCATCCTTTCCCCAGGAACTACAAATATTCCTGCACTTCAATCTACAAGGAAGGTTCTCACATTTGTGTAGTATTTATGCAGTTTGAACCTTTGTGGTTAAAGGAGATAGTTTTAAAATTGACAAGTCATCAATTTGAAGGACATAATGAACAGAAACATGAATTTTGTTCTATAGATTTCTCCATTTCCATATGAATATATGTGATTGGGGTTTCATGTAAAATGTATCATTTGTTGGACGGGCTAAACTAAGCATCTATAATTGTTCAGGTAAATCCCTTTGGAGTTGGAATACCTCTATATTTATTAAAAAGTCACAATGTTCTTGCTTTCTCTTATGTGTGTGGATTAGACAGATATGCAACCTCTGTTTGATGCATTCCTTTTCTTTTTTTCTTTTCTTTTTTTCTTTCGTTTTTTTTTTTGGAGAAAGTAAGACACAAAACTAAATACCAACTAACCAGAAGGTTCCAACCTTCATTACATCATAAATTATAAGAATATTAAGCTTTAGAGGAAAAAAAAAAGGGAACAAACCGGAGCAGTGGTAAAGCTGTTCTTTCATGATTGAAAGGTCATGAGTTCGAATTCAGGAAACAACTTCTTTGCAATTATGTAAGGGTAAGGCTACGTACAAGAATTGTCTCCACTCCACACTCGCTAGTCGGGTTTATCACGGGGTGGTTTTTTTTTTTTATTCAGTTTTATCCTTGCATATTTAGTTTGGGATAAATGTGTTGTTGATGTTTAGAGGAAGTGTCTGAATAAATTGTGTTTTGAAAGACAAGTCCAAAGTATATGTAATGTAGCAATCCAGTCGACACAACTGCACAAGCAAACCTCTTTTATTAGTTTTTACCATCTATCTCGCTATCTTCTTTTGGCAATTTAGACACTAGAAGTTAAGCTGGGATTAGTGTCATTATGCTGCCGTCCCATGTGTCTATAATAATTGAAGCCTGGAAAGCTGAGCTTCTAGTAATAACCCAGTTCATTTACTGCTAGATTTCTGCTAACACTTCTTCACTGAATATTGCTGTCCCTGTTGATGAATTAAGTAAGGAATGCAAATAAATTGTTGAAGAAATTTTGTCTTGTAATACAAGAAACATTGGCAGCTGAGGTGGAGATTTGTTTCTACCAATGTTTTAAAACCCGAATTTTGGTGATTCGGTGCCTTCACCAGTTCACCAGTTCGAGCTGTCAATTGGATGGCTAAATCCATGTGGGGTTGATGGAAGTTGAAGCACACTACGCTAAAGTCACTTACTTGTCATAATGCATGTTTTAATATATTTATTATATAATTTAATTTAATTCAGTTAATCGGTTGAACCACTAACTCATCGGTTGAATCACTGACCCATTAACACAGTATCTCGATCGAGTCAATAACTAGGCCAAGTTTTAAAACACTGATTTCTACCTTTAAATGATGGAAAATTATACTATCGTGTTGCATGAGATTTATCTCTCTTATTACATTTATATAAAAATATATGCTTCTATTTTTTTTTTTTAAATTGATGAACCTTACTTTATGGCTTTTTGACCTTGGTAATGTTGTTTTTGTAATGTATGACCGGAATAATTTGTGGGTCAAAAGTTTTGCCAATATAATGCATAACAACGCGGTTGGAGAACTGACGTTTAAGGACGTGATAGAAAGCATACCGCATCCTGTACAATTTTTTTGGCATGGTCATCAGAGCTCCTAAGACGTGATACATTACCTGCCACGTCCAGTATAGGCCTGTCAGTGCTTTTAAGACATGATACCTTACCTACCGCGTCCTGTGCAAAACATGATACATTGAATCGTTCCTTCTTCGCTTTTAAGATATATACAACGAGAATTGTTTATCTCATTTAACATGAGATAAACTTATTTACCTACACTTACATATATGGGAAAGAGGAGAGAGAATAGAAGAGAAAAAAATATAAATAGGTCCCACCACTCAATATGTGAGTGTAGAAAAATGAGTTTATCTCATGTTAAATGAGAAAACAAATCCCATATAGAATAATAAGAAGAAAAAGTCTTGTATATCGAATTAATATTACTATTGAATATTTATATTTCTTGTAGTCTAATTGTACCAAAAACAGAATATGATTAAAGGGGTGTTATTTGTCTATTTTATAATTAAATAAAAATAGAAGCTTATATCATTTAGGTAAAATATAAATTAAAATATTTTTTGAAAATTTTAAAATTATAATGGAATATGCATAATTAATTTAAGAAATTTTTTAAAAAATATAAATTAAAAAAATTAAAATTGTAAACAATATATGCATAATTAATTAACAATAAATTCAAAAAATAAATTAAGAAATATATATTATCCTTTGAAAATTTTAATTAATTTTTACAAATTAAATTTCATTTTAATACGTCAAAATAAATATAAAATTGTTAACTATCCAATACTTACCTATAAATATCTTGAAGGCTGAACAGAATGGGAAAAATATTTAATTTTTAAAAAAATATAATATTGGGTTATTTTAACTAAAATTATTATATTTTATACATAGTGAGAGAAATAATTACACAATAAAAAACCATGGTGTGTGAAAGTGAAAGGTTATTGATAGATTTTTTTAAATTTAAATATTAAATAAAATACTACTATTTTACTTAAAATAACACATATTTTATACTTTAGAAAGACAAATGTTTTTTGAAAGAGAATAATAAACAAAAGAAAAAGTAATAAATGTTAACCTCTCTTTTTGTCGTGAGTCAGATAAAAACTTATAAATCTTGATTCTTCAAAAATACGGTAAACCCTAAACTTATACATATGATTTTGCACGGGACACGGCAGGTAAGGTATCATGTCTTAAAAGTACTGACACGCCTGTACTGGATGTGGTAGGTAAGGTATCACGTCTTAGGAGCTCTGATGACCGTGCCAAAAAAATTGTACAGGACGCGATATGCTTTCTATCACGTCCTTAAACGTCAGTTCTCCAATCGCGTTGTTATGCATTATATTGACAAAACTTTTGACCCACAAATTATTCTGATCATACCTTACAAAAACAACACTACTAACGTCAAAAGGCCTTACTTTATTTATCTCAGATAACTTATCTGTAAAGCCCTTAAATGATTCACTGCTTTTTCTAAATTGATCTTTCAACAACCACGAGTTAGTCCACACAAATTTTGTTTTTCGGAAAAAATAAAATTTAAAATATGGCAAGATATTATTATTGTGCAAATGACGACATTGTCAAATGAAAAAAAAAAATTATTAAAAAAATAAAATAACCAAAAGGAAAACTAAAAGATTGGAGCTTGGAAACGTTGAGAAGCATGGCATCAATGTGATGGCCCCACCCAAAATGATTGGAGGTGGGCCATCTTGACGTTGTTTATACCCCACAAGAACAAAGCAGGCTTTTTCCGCTACCCACCAATAATGAAAAGCCACGTGTCCACTCATTCACGCCGCCAACATCCATACGACGATGTCTACGCCGACACGTGCCAGACTGTCAAACGTCTTATTACCTAGGAATAGTGTCAATCTGCGTGACACTGTCGCTGCATACCAACTTTGCCCCCTCTTCTCTGTTTCTGCTTTGTCCTCATATTCTATGTTTTCACCATAGTTTTTGGAATAGCAAGAGAGGTTCATATTGTAAAAGTCTCGATTTCAAATACCACTGCAAAAAAACAGTGATTTTTTTCAGAACCATTTTGCCATTTCTTTACACAGTGTCTGTCTCAGCCATCAATCACCAATCTGCTTGGAAGGGTTTTCAAAAAGCTTCCTCATTTCTTGCCAGAAACAAGGGAAAAGAAAGTTCCAAGAGAGAGGGGGCAAAAAAAAAAAAAACCTTCCTTTATGCTATCCCTCTCTTCTCTGCCTAACAATGTCTATGATTCTCAAGAACTGGTTGTGTCTCTGCTGTTCTAAAACAATGGCGATCAAGAAAGCTCTTCCCTGGGTCTTAAACATTTTGATCCTCACTTTTCTGGTTTTGATGCCATTTGTTCAATCCTCTAGTTCAAGTGAGTTCAAGAAAACCACCCTTCATTTCCATGTTGTTAATTTTTGGTTGTACTAAACCGTTGCTTGATATGCAGGTCATATATATCCATCAAACATAGCAGGAAGCAGGGCCAAAACAACAAACATAGAGGTATATACATAATCGTTACATGTTAAAAGCATAAAAGGGAAACCTTGCTTTTTTTTTTTTTTATTATTATATAGTTTTCAAACTTTCAACTCCCTCTTGCTCTCTGTTAATAAATAGGGTCTATTTAGGTCTTTATTTTTTGTTTTTGGGTTTTACTTTTAGGTTGGAAGATTTAGGAATGAAGCTGCTTCTGTTGGCACAGTAGAAGACTCGGCAAGACAAGTTCCAACTGGACCTGACCCTCTTCATCATAACAACAATCCTATAGGCCCTTGAAGTTACCCTTCCTTGAAAACTCTCCTATATTTAAGTAAAGGTCTAAGTCTAACTTTAATGGTGGATCTCATTAATTCTACCGATTTTTTTGTTTTTGTTTTTGTTTTTCTAACTCATGATCCACTGCTGCAGCACATTTCCATCAATGGTTCAATATCATATCATGCGCATTCAGTGCTCACGTTTTTGTAATTTATGAGCCATATTATCTTCTGCGGTATGCTTGTTTTTTGTACATGATCAGAAACAATTATATTTGATTTTAATCTTGTTTGCAATTTCATTTTACTTTCCATTCTGTTCATTGTTTATATTATGGAAAACGTGAAAGAAAACAATGAAACTCCCCCTGCCTTTTTTTATTTCTGGGCTATATAGTATGGACTGAAATGTTGATTGGTGGTGTTGGTAGCCTCATTGGACATTGCATTTTACCCTTCTCAAAGAGCATCCAAAGAAGACAAGACAATCCAGAGTGGAACCAGTTTGTTGCCATTATTTATAGGAAATAGTGGAAACAATACCTGCAAATTGGTACGATTTTCTGAGTTGCAGTTCCTTTTTAATCTTTCCCGCTTATGATTTTTCAATTTCAGCAACTAGTCCAGCTTAATTTTAGCAATTGCCAACTGTTGTGTTTTTCTTTCTTCTTGTCACACACGATTTTTTCATATAAACCTTATGCTTTTTAAATAGCCTTTATTAGATTGAATTGAGCCTCAATCTGTTGTGCCTTGAGCCTTGAAGATTTCTTAGATTTGCACGGTAAACTGTATTTGGTCATTAACTTCTCTCCTTCCGTTAACCTTTCATCAATTATATATATATATATATATATATATATATATATATATATATATATATATATTACACTTTTTTCCTAGTCATTTTATTACTATTTTGAGTAAATACCATTTTTGGTCCTCAGCAAATCTCACGATATCCGCTTTAGTCCCTAGTAAATAAAAAGGTTATTCGTGGTCCCTAAGAAATTCAAAATGGACTCATTTAGTTAAAATCGTGGTCCCTCACAAATTCAAAAAAGATCCACATTAGTCTTTCAAAAGTACTAAGATGGGTCCACTTTGAATTTCTTAGGAACCACGAATAGCCTCTTTATTTGTTAGAGACTAAAGCGGGTATCGTGCAATTTGCTGAGGACCGAACATGATATTTACTCTAGTAGTTTTTAGATTCCATTATGCTTCGCCGGTTGGTTGGCGGGTTAACCGATCAAACTTCATTTGTAAGAATATTAGAGACTTTCATCCATCCAACACAACTCAATTGTCTCGTTATGTTAATCGTAGCTGAAGATTTGAAGTGCATTCGAGAGATATCTCATCCATTTGAATAAAGATTATTTCTGTTTTGTGACATAAAGCATAAATATTTTTTGAGTTTTATAATTCTCATTTAACATTAGAATTCAAATTTTTCTACACACCCTTTGATTTCCGTGCTGAGATAGGTCCTACATATAATTTTTTCTAACACCTGGGTCCCACATACTTTTTATCTCTACAACATGAGAATTGAATTCTCATTTAACATGAGAAAATCAAACCCATATTTTTTTACTGTTAATTCCGTTGTTTCGATCAAAAAATTGAATTGAAGACCCTTTGAGCCATATTTTCTAGGCACAACTCACTTACTATGTCATTTATATTAAGCCACCCGATATATTCACATGAATAATTTATATCATCATATTTACTATGTTCTAAATTATTTATCGTTAATGCACCATGTGTGAAATTATATGATAACATATATGATTAAATATAGGGAAAAATATTTCTGCAGTTAATGCAAATAAGTTATCTGCATTTATTCTCAAAACGACATTGTTTTGGTATTGAAATCTTAAAAAATTATAAATATAAAGACTATTATAACCCTGAAATAAATTAAAATTACCAAAACACCATGATTTCCGTTCTAAAACGACGTCGTATTGACTTACTGCAGTAACTGCAGAAAAAACGAACCTTTAAATATAAACCAAACTTTTTTTCACAGTGACAATATATTTAAATTACTTTTTTTTAAAAAGAACTATGCAAAGAATAATTAGCAAATTCATTGAGCACTGATTTTATATATGGAAACGCATTTGCCATATACAAGAACTTCCACAGCTATGCAATTCGTATCCAATTGTTGCTCTCTCACAAAATTAAATGTGGACTGTCCGGATTTATGAATAAAAAGCAAAATATTTATTTTATGAAAAATACTATTCTCATGAGTTCTCTTGCTATAGAGAACAGCTAGGTGGAATCTATCATTAATATAAAAAATAAAAGAAAAAGAGGTGTGATTTTTGAAGTAAAATAATATTTTCAAGTAAAATAAGAGTAATATTTTTTTTTTTTATATCAAGAAGAGAGCTCACGTAGGAGAGAAGTATTTTTGGATAGACAATGCTTTCCAAATTAACTTTTGACGACCCATCATTTCAAAAGCAAATAATATATGTTTTGCAGAACATTCATATCTCCAAGAGTTTTGCCGTACAGAACAAATTTGAATTATTTGCAAATAACGAACGAGTGATAGTAGGACACGTACGGTGTCTCCCTTTCTCTACTACCTTGATGTGGTCAGCAAATTTTTTGAGATGGGGGAAAAGATTAATATATAGCCAAATTCAAAGAAGTCTCCAGTTTTTTTATATATATGAGAATTAAAATAGATCAAAATCAAAACGTTAAACTTGAAAGGAACAAACTTGTATTAATTTATGGAGAATAATCCATTTATAATTTTTTTTATTAAATATAATTATATGACCGATCATACATTCTTGATTGAAATATAACAACTGTTCATACTTAATGTAGTTTGTAAACAAAAGCTTGTAAATATAACATTCTTCTTAATTTAATGTGATAAATTATATGAGATAGAGGGTGCGAGTGCGACCATCCTCTCAATCCCTTCCTTCTTAATATTCAAAAATAAAGAAAATGAGAGCAGATAAGATAATATTCAATTAATTAATAATTTCATGATAACTTAAGAATAGTAATTATGAATATTGATTTAAAACTTATTATAATAAAAAATATTTTAAAAATTATCTAAAAAAATTCATTGTTTGTGTGTCTTTTGGGAGTTTAACTTCCCTTTTCATTATAAGCATAAACTTAACTAAAAAAAAAACTCTTATTTTAAAAAAGAATTTCCCTTCCCAATTTTGTGTGATGTTTTGCTCAAAAAACGTGGCTTCATATGGGCCTATATATCGAATCAAGTAAGTTTCACATCTAAGGCTACTTCAAAATCATATTTGTAAATGAAAAAAAAAAAAAAAACATGAAAACGCCATAACGTAAAGACAAAAATATCATAAAAGAAAGAGAGAATATCTTCATTTCCCCGGCTTTTTGACCCTTTTGCTCCTCATTAATTAATTAATAACCAATTTGCCCCTGATTCAGAACTATCCACCAACTTGCCCCCTTTTAGTCGACTACATTGCTTTTTTAGTCGAGCAAATGGTCAAAATGCAGAAAGTGGACTACAGCAAATTTAGTCGACTAAAAAATCATCTTAATCGACTACATTTTTGGGATATTTAGTCGACTAAATATCGACGGATTTGTTTTTTAAAAACCCCCCATTCGGCAGAGGGGGAGTAGGATGACCTAATCGACTAAGGAGGCGGCCCAAACCCCAAATCCGCAGGAGCAGCTCCCAAACCCTTCCCTCAGGCGTGTGGATTACACCAAAATACGGTCCAAATCGTGAAATCTCAAGGATAGGTAAGGTTTCTTAACTTGCATTGTGTTTTAGGTTTTGGAATTTTTTTTATTTGTTTGTTGTCCGAATTTGTGAACTCTAATCAAAGCGTTTGTTGTAGGTTTTGTAACCCTAATCTACTAAGGTTTATTTTTTTGCATTGTGTGAATTTTTTTGTTTGAAAAATTTGTATGTGGCAAAAGTTTGCTTTTGGTTTACAGATCTTATGTTGCAAGTTTTCATTACCATCATGACATGCTTCATATAGTTAAATGCTGACATGTTTCATTGTAGGTACCCTAAACAAATGACGGGTCGCAAAAGACCAAGCGATGAGGGCAATGAGTCACTTGAGAGACGCACCAAGCATAGGCAAGAGTGGCCTTCTTCGTCAAGGCCACAAGACGAAGAGCCTGATACTGTTGACCTCCCGTATGGGTATCTGTTTGAGAACGACCCTACCGTCCACGCTTCATTTGTACGTGACCATTTGAACCGGCCGTTATGTGCTCCAAAATCTTTGGATACAGCTTTTTTTGATAAGGAGGGATTTGAAATTGTGGGGGTGTTGGAGGCGGCACATCTGAGGGTGTTTGCCGAGACCCTATGTCCGTATTCAGAGCTTATGGTGCGGGCCTTCTACCATAACCTCAGCTACGTACAGGGCGAGCTGAAGTCGAGGGTCTGTGGAATAGAGATCATCATGACGGCACCTGCATGGTTGGAGATACTTGGCTATGATTTTGACTCTTCTCAGACTGTGGCGTATGACGCTGATAGTGGTGTAGTACTTCCAGGATATGTACGAGAGGATGTCGTGCAGGAGCAAAGAAGAGTCCGTGGGGAACACTTGCACTATACGGTGGGGTTGCTTTCTGTGGAGTCCCGTATACTACACTATGTCCTCACCCACGTTCTGTTCCCACGATCTTTTAATCATTCCAGGGTGTTGGAACATGACATTCCCATTATGTAGGCTATCCGACATGCCCAGATGGTGAACTGGAGGCAAAACATAAGGGTCATCTTCTATACGCCTGTCTGGTACAGAGGATATTGGTTCACTTTGGTGTTCCCATGGAGACTGAGCTGTTGAAGAAGACCACGGGCTATAATTGCAAGTTCGGAAAGCGTCTATTGGAGCAGTGCAAGATTACTAAGAACACAAGATCGGGTGTGTGGGAGTTCAGTGGTATGCCCCAGGTTGAGGTTCCTTATGTTGCCCCAAATGACCATATTGTTGAGCCAGA